AGCTGGCCTGACTCCCTCCTGCTGGCACACTGCTCGCCAGGGAGTGTGCCACCACTGCAGTGGCAGGATGGTGCTCTGCACTGCCAGGTGTAACCTCAGAGTCTGGATCACTGGGGGCAGTGCTAATAATATTTCTCTTGCCATCTCATGAATGTGTTTCTTATAATAGTGAAATAATCTTACCATTTTTAGGTTGGCATCAAAATATGTGGAGAAAGCTAAGCAGGATAGTAACAGTCAACCTGGAAAAGAGATAAAACAAAGGACTGTTCAGTCACACGGGTCATGGAGAGAGTGTGCAGGGCTTGCACCTGTGCCTTTTCTCAAACAAGAATACATTTCACATGAATCCAATAGGGACTGGGCAAACAGACAAAGGGAGATGTCTGATTATGTGGTAAAACTGGAGCTTGCTGTGTTAAAGTGAGTTAGGGTGTGGGATGTTAAGGGTGCAAAAATTCCACATGTTTAAGGGAAAATTGAAGAAGTTTGTGGAACACAAATATGCTGTGAGTTATTACAGGAGGGTAAAAAGAAATTGTTTGAAATTCCCTGAGTTATAAACTGGATTTTAGGAGGAATTTTGGATGAAGTATTCTCTTATGGTTGTTAGACTCTTACACTGGTGTTATTTAGTCTCAGCAAGTACAGCTGTTCTTATGCTTTTCATTAGATTTTTATGATATCTGTGAAATGTGCTGTTAAAATAGTACTCAGAGCATTTATTGCTCCATCAACCTTCTTAGGTATAACACGGTAAGTGCAGCTCAGAAGTGACATTGCAGCACAATTGCTTTATCCACTTACAAAAATAAAAACATACCAGCATTCTGTTCCCCTTTGCAGCTTTTTTTTTTTTTTTGATGCAGTTTTATTTAGATTCAGGTTGCTTTGTGTTCCATATTGGACCTTAAATATATTTATCATCTGTAACCTATCTTGCCTAATATTTTTGAATGAAAAATAAATTTTGTTGCCCTATCTACTTGTTTTGGGTGACAGATAAGTTCTTGTTTTCTCTGCAGACAGACTGTCTTTAAGTCACTAATTCACCTTATCAATAACTTGGGCACCTTATAAAAAAATGCTAAGTGGTTTATTCACCTGTGTTATGTAAACTTCTTTCTCCAATGTGTCTACCCTCTGAAAACTGGTGTGCAGAGCAGATTATTTAGACTTTAGTGTGTGATATTTCTAGAGTGGAACAAGGTTTTTCAGAGTTTAAACCAAATGTGCAGAAATAAATGACGGTCATGAGTTCTTGCTGAATTTAGTGATTAGTCTATATTCACAAAGAACAGCTGAACATTCAACAGTTTGTTCACACACAAACTGTTCTTTAAAGACTGATCACCAATCAGACTGTGATATCTTTTCGGACATATCTTTTTTTTTATATGAAATAGTTTCAAATATTTTGAAACTATATACCATGTGTATATACTATATATCATATTTGTATACTAAATTCAAGGTCGTTTGCTGCAATGAAATATGTCCTTTTACCTTACTTCCATGCTAACAAAGGTGATTTCTACTGTCCATGCAATGATTGAAATTATATTGCACTGAATAGAAAGAAAACATTATTTGAATTATAACATCAGAACTGTTTTTTTCTTAACATTTCCTCTGACTTGTATACTTGGGGCTCATTTATTCTCCATTTATGTCACTTTGGCTACACAGATTAGCTTTTAAAGGGTAGTAAATGTAATTTAAGGTGCATTTAAACCCAAAGCAGGACAGAGGATCCTCTGAATAAAGATCACACTGTTTATGTTTAAATAACTTAAATCCCATCAGTACCCTTGGTATAAGAAATTCAGAACAATATTTCTCCTAGTGATAGTTCAACATAAAGTCCTACTCCCCTAAGGGAGCATGCAGTAAGGTAGGTGTCAGTGTTGAGATTTTTTTCTTCATATTTTTTCATGATTACATAATGCCATTTTTTACTTTCACTCTTTATTTGGGCCAGACTGTACTTTCCTTATTTTTAACTTTTCAATTCCCTTTGTTCTTTGATGATATTTTTAAGAAACCTTCCTTTTCAAATTGAGCATGTAGCATGATGTTTTAAAAAGAAAGATCTGAAGGTCTTTGCCCCTTTCTTGCTCACTGTGTACACTCATTGTGTAACTTCCCAAACCAGGGTCTTGTGAAAGTTTATTTGCCTGAGTTTTGCTTAGGGAGGTATGTGTACTTCTGAGTAAGTGACATGGCTAAGATCCACATTCCTCACCTGCACTGGTGATCTGATCCTAGCCTGTCCCAACCTGTCTCCTGGTTTTCTGAAACATGTTCCTCCCTCCCTTCACTTACACCTGCTGACTTCTCTGTCGACTGTTTCTACACAAGTTGTCTAGAAATCTTCCTCTCTGTCCCCATGAAAACCCTTTCCATCCATTCTTTCCATTCCCTTCAAACTGTTCCAAATGACTTATTGACACCAGCTATTGCTGCAAGTGTTTCATGCTTTTTGGCATTTCACAGCCATATCAGTTCTGCCTGCTATCCCTTTTTTTTTCATTTTTGTCTTTCTTGGCTTTAATGACTCCATCCTATTCCAAGTTTCCCCCTATCTCTGCAGTATTTACTCAGACATAACAACTGGAGATCCTCTTCTTTTGCTGTCCTGTCTTAATTCCTTTCTTGTTTGCTTCACACCTTCCTCCTGATATACCGCATCTGTGTATGGACCTGCTTCTAGCTGTCTTTTATTCATTATGCTCAGTTACTTCTCAGCTGAATGTTGTACATTCCCTAAAAACACTGCTCAGTGCTGCATTGTTGCAAAATCCAGCAGGTGAGTTTAAGACATATGACTTCTGCTGACATGGTCTGGGGCAGACCCCTAGTCCCATTCAAGAAGTCCCATTCAATTGCAGCACTGACTTCCAGCAAGGGAAGACCCTGCCAGCTCCTACCTGGGACTGGTGCTGTGGATGTGTCTCCCCTCCTTGGTTCACTGTGAAAGTTCTTTACTAGGTGAAAATACACAATTAATTTTGAAAGGCTGATTTGGAATTTTTGGTCACTGCTCTGTGACTAAAACAGACAGATCTTGTGATTTTCTGCTTTCTCTGCAGAGGCAGAGCCATACTTTTTGTTTTCTCTCTTTTGTCACAGGATACTCAGTTGGAAATTTTCCTATTTCTCTACTTTAGAGTAGTTCTGACTTTTAAATTCATGCAGCTGTAATGACTCAGCCTATCACTCAGTACAGTAGGGCTGACTCCACTGGAAGAACTGTTTTAGAAAAAAGTGTTTAAATAAATTTAGCACAAAATATTTTAAAAATATAATATGCATATTTGTATATTCCATTTGTTCTTTTTTGAGATGGGAATCTTGGCCTTCAGTGTATTTGAAAATTATTTGAATTTCATAAAAATCATAGAAAAGCACAGATATCTTTGAAGACATTTCTTCTGCACATGTCATAGCATTTTCCTGTGTGAACAGGAACATTTAGTATTTGATACTGTAAGTTGTTCTTCAGTGTCAACTCACCTCATGCAGATTATCACATCAACACTTTCTGCTTTACCTGGGCAGGGACTTATGAACTGGTTAGTTGACATCCAAGGCAGAACTTTCAAGCAGCATTTGCTGACTGTTTTTCTAGGTGAGATACATGGTGTCACTACCACAGACTTTATTGTTTATTGTGTTTTTCTTATTTTTTAATCTTCCATGTGGATCTAATTCCACAGTTGTACTGAAGGCCTGATTCCTTAAACGGGCTCTGTGTAGATGCAGGAGCCAAGAATGATGGAACCTTTTGGTGACCTGGGATCAATAGCTGCAAATCCATGGAAAGCTCAGAGCACTGAAGTGGAATATGTGTCTTTTTCGGCTCCTCATGTCTGCATAATGCCCTGAGGCCTTGTTGATTCACTCATAATTTTGGAAAATTTTAATAGGTGTTTAAATGACATAATCCTTCAGCAAATATTCATTTGGCTTAAAAAAGATTTAATCCATCAAAATTTATAAGGGAAGAAATTTTTAGGTTTTGAAAAAGGACAAAACTATACTGAGATTGTGTATAGCCCTTGGTATTCCCGTCCACATGGAAGTTTGGAACTTTGCATATCTAGTTTTCTAGATATTAGGAAAAAAGAAGTGTTTCCTAGTCACTGCAATTGTCCTAAGAAATAGGAGCAGCTAATAGTTCTAATGGGACAGAAAAACTGAGATCTAGTCTTTACTGTGCTGTTCTGTAAGGTATTGTTTAACAATTGTACTTCCTCTTCAAGCTGTATTTGTGGCTCCACACAGAGCTATGAAGCAGAAGAGAGGGAAATGGACATTGACAAGGAAAATACCTCTCTTCTGCTCAGAAGAAGTTATGTGGGATTTGTTCAAAAGCCAAGTGAATTAAAAAGTCATATATAAAAAAATAATTGCTTCCCTGAAAATATTTCTCTGCTCTGAAATGAAAGTGTTTTTAGCTGTTAAGTGAAAGATGTAATCAAATTTGGTAATCTCTAAACCACAACTCAGTCTGGGTTCACTGCACTTTGGAATTATTGCTGATTTTCTTACACATCTTGTTCCATGCAATGTATTTTCATCTTAAAATGAACACCATTTCTCTCACTGGTGAATGACTTCAGTAATTACAAAACCACCTAATTCATCTTTTATGTTGTTTACTGGCTTCTTCAGTGAAACAGACAAGCACTTTTTTATGACTTCTAAATTATTGTATTATTTTAGGGTTCTATAAGAGTAAAATGGTTTTCTACTTCAGAGGGATCTCATTTTAGCCCATGCCTCAAACTTCACCCTGCATGAATTCTTGTCTATAGATTTTTCAACTGTCCTGTGGTTGCATATGAGTAGTTTCAGTTTCTGTTTTATTTCAATCTATTATTTGTGTTTACAAATTATGTCTTCAGCATTGAAAGCTCTGCAGAAAATCAGGAAGTGTTGGTTTCTGCATGCATTACATTTCTCCCTCCCTGTGTTTTTATTCTTTATTTCTCCAGCCAGTGTGCTGAAGCATGACAAGAGCTCCAACTCAGCAAACTTCCAAGATGTGGAGGATATGCCTGACAGATGTGTCTTGGAAGAGTCTGAGAGTCCAGGTGAGAGGCATTTAAAGACAGTCACCAAGTATCAAGTGATAAATCTGACACAGCTTTTGGGTCTGTAAAAAAAAGCACATTGTAATGCTATTTCCTTTTTAGCAGCTGCAATGTCAAATTAATGGTCACCTCCAGGGGTCAGAGTGTGGAGCTGTTATCCTTTCCTCTTTCATCAGGAATTCAGGTCTTAGAAAGGATAAAGGCTTTATGACCAAAAAGAAAGCTGACACTACTAGTTCATTATAATTAGTTTTGGACTACAGTGCTTACTTAATATGTGTACAATGTCTGACCCTTCGAAGGTAGTGTGAGATTATGAAAAATTAGAAGTACTGTATATACTGCAGCTGAATGTAGCAGTGGACATTCAAACACTGTATCTCTGGAGGAAAGCAAATTGGTGGCATTAAATAGCTTGATTCTTTCCTTTAAATCAGCTCACAATCATTATTTCATTTTAATGACTCTTAACATTGATTCAGCTAAATACAGGAACATCCATAAAGTGCATCCTTTTTGGTGACCGAAAGATTTATCTTCATGTAGTTTCATTATCTTTCTCGTTATGGAACATCTACAAAATTTATTAAATGAATCCCAAAAGGAAACAATTAAATATAAATTGTATCGAGTCACAGCTGATTAAAAACATTCTGTGCGACTAAATACTAAGATCTTTTAAGCAAACTGGGAGCTTGACCCACGTACACCAAACACATAACCTGCACACAGTCCTCATTAGTGAAAGAGTTAAACATCTTTCTTCACTTGGTATTTTCCTCCCCTGCTTTATCTGGTTTCTGTGTACCCTCCTGCATCTTTGTGTGCTGATCCGTGTATCATATTTTTGATTCATCGTCTCTGCGGCCTGTCAGCTTAGTTAAGAGATTTCCAAATCTTGCAGCCTGTGCTGACAGGGGGCAGCTGCCAACAGTCCCCTGATCCTTCCCCAAGGAACACTGCTGAGATTTAATTTTCAGTCAAAGGGTGCAGTCTGAAATCCATGTCAGGTCCCCTAAGTCATCTCAGAACCCAGATAGGACCCATGTCTGGGGGATTATATTTCAGCACACTCCACTCCTCCAAGATTCCTTGGGAGTTCAAGTGCTGTCATATACCTGATTTGAACTACATTCCCTTTTCATCTTTTCCACAGAAATGAACACCAGTATATGTTACAATAATTGAAACCAATGAATTGTAAATCTGTATTCATTTTAAAGCCACATAGACTTGGAGTCAGTGTTGTACAGCAGAAACCAACATGAGATTTAGAAAGAAATAGATAATCTACTCAGGAAGGAGCCAAGTTTGACTCCTACAATCTGCTGTGTGTAGCACCTCCCTCAGAAACTATCTATAATCCCTTCAGCAATGATTATGGGTGGAAATGTGAGTTGTCCAAGATTTGATCAGTTCTGAAGTGAGAGAGAATTAAAGCAAGGTGGCACCAAAGTGTTCAGGTGACAATTAATGTACCTGAAAGTTAACATTAAGTTTAACCTGAAATTATTTCTGACTGGCAAAGTGTACCTGCTTGGATGGAAACTTGTATATCCAATCCCACACTCTGCATATCTGTGTGAAGTAATGGAAAGAATAAAAGCCTGACAGGAGGTGAATATTGACTGGCAAAAATACATGTTGATAAAGCATCTAAACTTAAAAACTGAGTTCCAATCGGTCCATCTGACATCATTAAACTAGTAATAAACAATGAATTACTCTGGCTTTTGTTTCTGTCCATTCCTGCATTTTAAGACATCTTGTCTTATAGGTCTGAAAACCTCAGGAGATTTCACTACTGGTCTCACTGCTTTCCACTGAGAATTTGTGGCTTGGTTGTCATGGAGACATCGTATTTCTCCAAGAATTGCTCATATTGATCCGTGGACAGGCGTAAATGGCCAGGCGAATGTGAGGAGTAAAGGGGGTTGGGCAGTACTATAAAATGACCAGAGGTTATGGGTCGGAAATAAGCTCATAGCAAACACTTAGGTAAAGAGAAAGAAACAGTTTCATTTTGTTTCAGGATTTCGTTTTTGCACTTTATGCCATTGTCTTCTTTCACTATAGACTGAAAGAAACTTGTTAGTCACTTGTCATGTCAGATCTTTGGTGCTTGTCCTGACACAGCTGTCAGCCTTCCAGCTCTGTGCAGTTCAGGGACACACAACAAAGAGCTAGGAACATGAATTATTTATTGCTCCTTGTGCGGATGAAATTCTGTGATAAGAAATTAAGACACTTCTGACAGAAGTGCTTGTTTGAAACGAAAGATTTGGTAACACAATACATTTACTTAAAGCTTACCATTTACTTTTAGTAGCAAACATTGAAACAATAATATGACATTCAGTTGGCTATGATTTTCTCAGGTGCTTTAGCTTTGAATCATGGAATCTGAGGATGCCTGGGAGGTCAGCATTTGGTTTGATGAACCTGTGACTTTAGAATCTCTCTCACACATATTCAAAGTCTTGCTGGGCAAACTTACAAACTTAATGTAGAAGTTTTTAATAACAAATCTGCATATGTGCTTTGCAGAGTCTCTTGTGCTTCACTTACAAGGTGTTGTCTTAGGTGCAAAAGTGATGTTAAGAAATAGATTTCTTTTATTATCTCTTCTGATGAGGAAAAGGTGAAAATATGTCCATATACTTGCAAGGAATTTCAGCTGTTCCTAGAAAGACTTCTTTATTACAATTTGTACCAGAATCAGGAAGGCTATAGAGCAGCTGTTAACACATATATCTGTGTGTTGTGTTTTTCAGTGGTGAAAGGTGCAATCTCTAACCTTGACATTAGACTGAGCTGTATTTTCAGGAACCTTTGTTTGCTAAAATCATATAAAGCTTACTCTGCCTTACTTTCACATTTCTATATGGCTACACATGTTCTCACTGCTCTGGTTGTGAGCCTCCAGCAGTTGTAGCAAAGGCATATACTCAGATGAATAGCAGGAGTCCATTTGACTACCCAAGACACCAATCCGAGATTTACCTGTGATTTCTTGTGTTCAATGTGTGATCTGAACTACTCTCAGATAGGTAATGAAACCCCTCAACCTGCAGTTTTCTCTTGGATAATTCACAGTAAACACTTTTCACATGTGATGGACACAGGTAAATATCAGACTGCAGTTTCTTGTCTAAGTGAAATGGATTTTAGTTGCTCCCTTCATGCACCTACAAGCTGCCATTATCTGTGATAGTGGCTCATGTCTATTTTAGCCCCCACACAGAGGAGATGCTGGGCTTCTCTCCCAGATGCCTAATAGTAGGTTTATCACTGCCATTTTTCCCCACATGCTGAGGACTACTTCTGTTTGACATGCAAAGCCTTGGTTTTTCAAACTCGTCTCTGCTCCTGCCTTGAACATAATAATCAGATAAGAATTACAACAGCTTTTTGTAGAACTTGAGTTTTAATCATATCAACCCCCCATAAAGAATTCACTATCACTTAGAGTGCTTCTTTGTATAACTACATATTCCCAGCAGTGTTTTCCATTTTATCAGGCAAATTTTCCACATTTAGGGAAACTGAGAAAGAGGCTGAAAGTGAGTGTACACAGATGTGTAAGTCAGACTTCTAGGTCTGAGATATTCACCTACATTTACTTGTACAAACGGTGGTGGAAAATTTACCTCTCCAGAGACATGTTTACATCTTGTCCAAAGGGAGTTGCTTGAGATGTGCTCTGAATTTTGTCAGTCAAAGTCCAAGGTTGTAGCAAGACTTGACACAACCCGAGGTGTCCTAGCTTTCCTATGTAGTGCAGTCCCATGAAGGAGGCTTCTGCAAGTGCAGCTCTTATGGGAAAAAGAAATAGATTTGAGCTGAAGTTAGAAGAAACCCTGTAGACACAGGTGCCCCTTCCCTCTTATTTCCCCTAACAGAGACACCACAGTAGAGTAGGAAATAGACTATTACTTCACTTGGTAATAGGTGGAAATTGAGCCTCCCTAATAAAGATTGAGCTGGAATCTGTAGATGGAAAATATAGAGCATTTTCCATCTCTTGGATGGAAATGATGTAAATGGTAAGAACCCCATTCGCTCATGATCTTCAGTAGCCAGACAGTCTGTGCCTGAGTCAGGGGGTCCCTTCTACAGCTCATGATCTCTCCCGTCCCTTCATTCCAAAAACATTACACATATTGAACTTTTCCCTCCTCAACTTTTCACTTCTCCAGGACAGAATGTATTTCTGGGTGCATAACAGATAATAGGGAAAATTCGAGCAGTTTTCAGTCTTGGTTAATTGCTGGGAAAGATCTTTGACGGCTCCTGTAATGCACTCTGTGAGAGACAGAGCTGCAGCAGATCTAAATGAAAATATATGAAGAAGAACAGATTCTTATTAGCCACAGTGTGCTTAAAATTACAGTACTAAAAGTGTGACTATCTTGTTATCAGGCAAGTTATAATTACTGTACCAAATATTCACTTCCCAGCTCCAAATTCCATCCACTAAGGAGTGTTGCTTAAAACAGCACTGTGTCACCTCTATGGCTGTTAATCAGAACAGGTAGAATGTAAAAGTAAATATTCAGTAAATTTCCAAGTACAAAGCACTCTGGAAAAGCATGATTTGCTCTTTCCACATTTACATCTTCATGAAAAGCAGGAGGCAGTAAATGAGGACAGACTTGGGAATAGGGTACTGGAGACTGTTGCTGCTGATGATGCATGGAGCATCCTTCCTAAGAGGATGCAAGGTAGGGGCAGCCCACTGATCACAGGCACTGATAGCCCATTCTGCTCAGGGACTGTGTAGAACATGTTAGTGCCTAGGAATTATTCCAGAAAGAAATTCTGGAATTTGCAGTGTAGGAACAGATGAATCCATGATCATTTCACTGCAGTAGATGTAGTGTCACATCCTGTCAGTGTTCTGGGTTACTAGAATCATGACTCATATGGTTTGGTTTGGTTTGAGGGGTTTTTTGGTTGGTTTTTGGTGTGTTATTTTAATAATTAATCAAACTGTAAAGCCAGGAGACTTACACAATAGACATAAAGAAATGTTTCTCTTTGTCTGACAGATAGACAGAAAGTTCATAGCTTATATGATAAATTTACAAGATATCAATTAGAGTGGGAAAAAAATGTGTGTGCTGCTTTTTCAATGTTCATGTACTCATGAAAGGTTGGTATGTGTTTAAGCAGTGTTTCTACTGCAAGTCATATTCAAAATTCAGGTTGTAAATATTACCATACATCAAATAAGAAGAAAGCATGAAGGTAGAAATTGATGTGTTTTTCTGTGGAATTCTAAAAAGCCATGACAGAATTAAAATACCATGCCTTATCAGTATAACTTATTATTACTTCTGTTTACAACTATTGTAGGATTATTTCTGCTGAAAGAAAATGCATATGACTTGACAATTATATTTGCAGAGGAAATACAAACACCCTTTAACACCAAAATTATCTTTCTGCTGATCCACTGAAACATTTTCCTTTAAAACCAAAAAAGAAGCAGAAGTCTGTCCCAGAGAAGAGTCTTGTGGAATGCTGCACATTCTCTTGAGCTGTTTTGGGCTCCATATTGCTTCTTGTAGTATATCAATGATCATGTTAACAGTCTTCTGGAGGTAGATTTCTGGTATTTTTTAACACTAGCATGATGGTGCTGAAAGTTTTTCTTTCATTACAAATATTATAGAGTTTGTTACTCTAGAAAAAGATTGTAAAATAACTTCTATTTTAATTACAAAGTGTTGGCTATTACCTCAAAGTGTAAAATCACTAAGCCAGATGAATACTTTTCTTTTCCAGATGACACGAAGCCACATCCCTGGATATCTAAGGTGTGCTCCTGTAAGGTGTGTTAGAAAGAGCTACTTACCCAAAAGAACTGGAAGATGATGTCCAAGGACAGCCAAGAAATAGGACACATGTGGTGTGGACATGAAATGGTTTCTTATATTTATTATTGTATACCTTTAACAGTTCCATTTTAGAAGAAATAAGATCTATAAGATCAGTTTCTTATGGCTGATTTATTGGCTTCAATTCACACTTCCATTGCTAATAGATTTACATATATTCAACTCAGTTTGGATAGTTTAACATAGCAAATATCAACTCTTCAGTTTTAGATGATTTTCACTTGTTTGTGTGTTGATCCCAAATCTTTCAACTTTGGTTGACCTTTAATCAACCGCAACAATTTTAGTGTTGCTTTACATACATCAAATTTAAAATTTTCTCTCTCCTTGCTTCTGACTTTTATTACTAATAGCATTTTAACACTGAACTAAATGAAATGCATTTCAAATAATTAGAAAAAAATGCACATTTTGAATAAAACATGGAATATTTAGAAATAACTAAAATACAAAGAATGTTTTATGCACAGGAGAGGATGGGAAATTGGTAACAAATCTGGTCATGTCTAGGATGTAAATTTTCCTTTTCTATCAATGCTGCCATTGCCATCATCTCTAGAAATGTAGTACCAGTATGAAGTTGGAGAAGCCCATTGGAGTCCTCTTCTGGAATGGTACAACTTCATTGAACATCTGTTGGTGCTCATTGGGAAAACCAGCTATACATTCTTTTCTTTTTTTAAAAAAACTATATCATTAGGTTTGTAGAATATATGCAGCTGATTATGTTCATTTATCACCTAATGTTCTGGGAGATTCAGGCTGTTTTGACAAACAGTGGCTGCTCAGAGCAGTAAGTTCACTTTCAGTATTGCCAATAGTTGGAGTGCTAATGAAGACAAGGGGACTTGAGGATGTGCCTTTCTGGATCTGTTCCTTATGGTGGAAGTCCTGGTCTGATGTTATCCTTCGTAATTGTCATGTTATCCGTAAGCTGTCTTAAGTAGGAGAGTGGAGATTTCCTCCATTGGAAAAGTTCTCTAGTGATGAAAATCTTTCTTTCTAGTGGGCAAATGTCAGGGCTGCTGGAGTGATAAAACCAGATTTCTGTTGCCACACTATGGCTTGAATTTGGTGCAACAGGAAAGACATGAAGCCTTCTTTCTTCTGCTTCCTTATATCCCATGAGTCCATGTCCCTAAGTGCAGTGTATGGCAGTGAGGTCTTCAGAAACACTGTGTGGAAGAGCTTGTAAGAAGTAGTATTTTGGTTGTTTTCCAGCTAAAGAATGTGCCATTCAAATAGGCTGCAATCCAGAGAAGATAAAGATATTTAATGCTATTTTTCTGTGATTGTAAATGCCATGCCGAAAAATGGAATTTTTTAACGGAGAAATCACTGGGGTTTACACATTTGGTATTTTTCAGAAACAAATTTCTTTATTCTTAGAAGATATTTTCCTCTGTAAAATGTATCTTTTGTTCATATGCAGTTGTATTTGAATTATGGTGACTAAACAGTCTGAACGTTGAGTGTATGGCTTCATTCTTCCCCTTCTTGCTCTGAATGTGTGGAATGATATCATGGATTTGCTTATACTGGTACAACACAACTGAGAGCAGAGCATGTCTCCAGCTGAGATGTATCCTGCACTTAACTTTTATGGCAAAATCAGAGTTGCAAACCTCAGGAAGGTAAAAATAAAATTTTTAACATATCTACAGGAACTTAGTAGCCCTACAGGAGCCTTGCAGACAGTAAAAGAAATGATAAACAAAGGATGGGCCTGGCTCTCCCCTTTGCTACACATCCATGTAAACAGCCACATCCAGTTTGCTGCAGTAGTTTTCCATTGGCATTGAAAAGTCCCTTCACAACAAGCATCTCTGCTTTGCATTAGCATCTGCTTACTTGGGCCAGCTCTGCTCTGAGTGCCAGGGTGACAAATCTTTTTAAAACTCTTTCAGTTTTGTGTTCAAAGAGGTCTCATAGCTCCAGGAATCAGCATTGTCCATAACACCCGGCACTGCTGTAGTAGCAATTACATTTGTGCAACACAATATTTGATTGCTTGTCTTTAATTCTGCAAAGCAGTGCACATCAGCAGACTGCCAATACAGACAGCCCTCTGGAATGGTTTGTGCAGCGATGATTGGTGTTTGGCACATGCTTCTGCGTGCTTTGTGCTAATTATAATTACAGTATCAGTAAGGTAAGGCAAGAACTTTTTTATTAGGTACATTTATTTCCCAGTAAAGCAAATATATTTTGCATGTCTTCTGGATGTCTTTCAAACAACCAACTTTATAATATGTGCTCACGATGAACTCTCACTTAGAACAATCTTTTTGCAACGAAGTGACCATTTCAGAGCTGCATACAAAAATACATGTGAACCTCCTGCAGTAGTTTCTTGTAAGTCAAACTGAAGCAGCATTTCTATAAGAACTTGGTCTGATGTATCACTGCATTCATGCTTATGGAGATTGATTTTACAATGAAGTCACAAGGTAATTAAGAATGTATTTTTCTGTTGTGTTATACTGAAGGGATCCTGCCAAAAGGAGTAACACGCTAATATTTTAGAGTAGTCATATAAATTTTAGATATCAGGTAAAAAACTCATGAATATCTAAACTTCTTAAGGACTGTGGTGGTTTGGTTTGGTTTGGGGTTTTTTCCATTCAGAAGTCATAGGGTCCAATGAACTGTACAGCTCATACTGCAGTTTCACATTCAGGACAATTTCAGGACAATTTCTCCCCACTCCAGCCACATGCTTCTGTGTCTCCTCACTGATGTTTGCACTAGTGCTTGTGTGACCAGGCCATGTCAAGACATGCACTGGTCTCAGTGCAAAGACCAGAGGAGGAACAAGAAATTCAAGGAGAAAACGTGGCACAGTCCACACAT